CTCAATGGAGGACTTGCATTTGTTATTTGGTTAGGAGATAGCACAGGGAGGAGTAAGACAGATGCAGCAGTTGATGTCTCCTCCCCTCTTATCAGCAAGCACCACAGAATAGAGTCTACTGTAGCAAACACTTCCAATTGTATTGATTCTAATTGCTACAGATTTAAAATCACTGTTCTAAACTTTGGCATGGTTAATAGTAAAGACAGGAAACTCATCGTCAGGGCACCAGCTCATTGCTTGGTCAAGAGACATGACTAAGCCTTTATGACATGGAAATAGCTGGTATACCTTGGCATGTGCTGGAACCCTGCTGGAAGGATTGGATGGTCAGGTGACCTGCTGTGCATGGCTGTGCATGACCTCATATGACCTCATCCTTGGTCATATGACCTGATCACCTGACTAGGCTGAGTAAGCAAGATGTTCTAGCAGGTTCCACCACAGAGGTATAAATATAAGGCCTACTCTGCCTGGGGACTGTCTCTTCAGACTTGGTCTCTTAGGATCATCCACAGGTACCTATACTGTAGATAGGTCTTAGTCATCAGGTCTACTCCACTTCCTTGTTGCCTGCTTAGACTCTTGGCACTCTTAGGTGAGCAGACTTAGTCAGCCTGTGTTGCCCTAACACTCATCAATCAAGTGCACACAATATAAAGCTATGTAAAGACAGTGACAACACATAATGACAGGAATGGAGTCAAATGATCCTCTTGACTATGCACTGGATGTTCTGTTCATAGCCTGGGTCGCTTCAGTAGCCGTGGACATTGTGGTATTCATGATGTCTGTCCCTGCCCAGCTAATTGAAAACTCCCCACCACTGATCTGCAGATTGAAATGACTGAAAAAGTATTTCCCACCTGCAGCAATCAGTATGTGCTAATCATCTGTGTAGCAAATGGCATACCTTTGTACAGAGACCAGAGCACCAGAGCAAATATCACAATGGTGGTCAAGCCATGACAGGTGTGAGAGAAAGCATGTTTTTTCAACATCTGCCTTGTCTGGTCAAACACTCCACCAAAGAAGAAGATACTCATATCTTGCACAATCCAGATGCCCAGTGTGTCGCCAATGCTGGGGAAGGACGAACATATCCTCAAGAATGTATTCATCAAGCCATGACCATGCTGGTAGCTGTGCTTCTGATGGAGGCACTGGTAAACCTTGTCACAATCCACCCGCACTTTCCACCTGCGAGCTCCTCATTGTCCAGCCTGCACCCCGCTAGACATTCCACCTCTGCCAGCAGCTGGGTTCTCCCCACCATCCATATCTGCTGCACTGCCAGTACCAGGGGAGGTGTCCATCTGTATGGTGCATATATCTCCCATCGAAGCTTGGATGGTGTCCGTTTCATGGTTGTTCTCCTTGACGGTGAGGAGAACTGCGGCAATGTTGCACATGTTGCTGGTGACAGCCTCCACAAGAATTGAGGCATATCCAGTGTTGGACCTGTTGACAGTAGGAGGGTTCATACCTACCATACTGGTGGGTGTAGCAGCAGTATGACTGCCATTCCCTACAGCATCCTCCTATTCATAGTCAGTCAATGGCTTGCAATAAGTGTCATTGATACTCACTTGATGCATAAGAAGCACTCCAACGCCTCCACCCAGCACCTGCTCCTCATCTCCTTCCTCTTCCTTATCTTCCACATCTTCATAGTCAGATTCCACTCTGCTGTCTATGAGCATGGGCCTTGTAGATCCCCTGGCTTCAAGATCCACCGCTTCTGCTGCCTGCTGATGATGAGCCTTTATGAGGCCCTTCAGATGCTCTTGCCATCCACAACCAGTCCTTCCATTCTTGAATGTTGCAGACCACCTGCTCCTAAACATTGATTGAAGTTTGTTGTTGCAGAGTAAGGTGTGGTGTGCTGATTTAGCAAATAGGGGACATGGTGGTTGAGTTGAAAGCTGTGTGGCTGCATTTCGGGGGCTAGAAGGATATTTGCCCATGCGCAAAACATGAGTCCTTGCTTCCTCTGTCTATTGACAGCACTTCATCTTTTTTGTTCTCATCTGACAATCAGTTCTGGTCAGTTTAGGTCTCTTGAAATAACATAACACCTAAATATAATGCTAAGTAGTCTGTCCCTGCAGTTGACCAGAGTCCAGGTGACCCAAGTGCACACCTCTTCCCTTGAGTTGGGAAGAGACAAGGCCCCCCTCTGCCCTCACCTCTTCCCTCTCCCTTATCTCTTCCCTCTCTTGAGTTGGAAAGAGATGAGGCCACCTCAGCACCCTAACTCTTCTCTCTCTTGAGAAGAGATGATTGACAGCTGCCATGGCCTACACCCCTCCTGTCTGTTCTCTGCAAGCCTGTCTGTCTTCCATCTTGACATGGTAAGACAAGTTGCTGTTGATAAGACTCCCCTATTCCCATTCTCAACCTTGAAACTTTCCCCTCCCTCATCTGCATTTCCTATGCCTTCAGCAATGGCTACTCCCAGGCTGTCCAGGCAGCAATGTGTGTGAATCAGTCTGATTATATTCAGATAGTGGGTCAAAGTGCAATTATTGCAATTATCAATGACACAATAATGATAACATTAGGGTCTGTCAACACGTGGCCTCTTTGGTCTCACATGTGGTTGTGCACTGGTATGAGGTGGTGTGCCAAGGTGATCAGACCCATTTCCCTGCTTATCCTGAACAATCATTGTCAACATTGCCTCGACCATCCTCTTGCTCAGCTTTTCAGACTAGTACTGTTCTGAAGTACTAGTGACTCTACTTTGGAATTATGTGAGTTGGTGTTTCCTCTTCATCCACCATATCACTCATGACCCGGTTTGTGGCAGCTCTATACACCCCTGTGTGAGCCTTCAGTAGTCACTGTGTGACACAGTATTGACTGGGGTGATAGTCAATAATGTACCCCTCCATTCAAGCTTTACCTGTGAACAGTAGCATGATCCTTGATCACAAGGAAGGTCACCATGAGCCCATGGCTTTCAATGTCACTTCTCTGGAGGTCAGTGACGGTTTTCACCAATCTCCCCTTGCTCACATCTCCCCAATTCCTCATACCAGCAAACCTCCAATCAAGGTGGCCTTGTCTCTTCCCCGCTCAACATCGCCAACCAAGGTGGCCTTGTCTCTTCCCAACTCAACAAATCCACCAATGGTGGCCTCGTCTCTTCCCAACTCAACAAATCTTTTGAAGGTAATCCACTAGTCAACAATTTGATTCTCCCTGCCACATTACTTGAATACAAGCACAGCCAGGGAAATGGTGAAGATGTCAAGCTGTACAACTGCGAGGTTGCCTATCTCAAAGGCAGATGCTTGACTCAAGCCTTCTTCGATTGGGTTGCATACCCTGGCAATCTGTTGTTCAGATCAATCAATGAAACTAGCTCTGAATCTGAGCTGGCTTCCAACGCCTATGATCAGGGCAACCAGTATTACCAAGGCTCTCCTGGTGGGGCCATTCCAAATCAGCAGGGAGCATACTTTGTCAACCACAATGATATCAAGGCCTACAACCATGCTGTGGCATACCTCAAAGGTGCTCAATGCATACAGACTTCAGTAAACTTCATCTCCCTCCCAGGGGAGATGGCACAGGACACTCTGAAAGCCATGTTGACTGCATATACATCTGCCGTGAAGCATGTTGTGGGAGTTTACAGGGGGTTTTGATCACATGATGCCAGTGGGGGCCTGCAGATGGTTGCCTTCCAATGGTTCTCCCATCTCTTCAACCATATCCTCTCCTCCGGTTTCTGGTGCTAAGCATAGCATGAATCGCTCCACAGGTTGCCTATCTGAAGTGCTCAAAACAGTGATTATAAATGCCTGATCACAAATGGTGAGTTTTATCCCCTATTGCCCATGCATCAAGTGACTCATGTTGGGATCAATTGCCTGACCAGTAGGTCCTTCACCAGTGGAGACCTCCAGCTCAATCCTCAGGCCATAATGTGTTATTTTGATAGTCATGCTTTGCAGAAGCATCCTGTTGTTGACAGGATGAATGAGGGGGTGGTGGTTCTGGATGACTCCAGATGACTGGACCCTAAACACCAATGGCCACTGTTCTGTCTTGCCAGCAAGTCCCATCATCTCCTTTGTGTGGTCTCTATTCATTCTATTGCTCTCTCCTAGTTGTCCAATCAAGCGCTGGATTGGATGCCATCAGGGCCTCTAATGGAAAGCCTATGGCTATCCCCTCAAAGAGAGGTATGGGTCCAGCACTGCTGGACTTGAGGGACTTTGAACTCGACTTCTTTGGGCAGCGCGGACACTGCAAATGGTGTGGTGTGGAAGCATATGCCTCCAAGCTTCTCACGCATGCATCTTCATTGGTGCACCAATCCATGGTATGATGCAAATGTTTTCCCTCTGACAATGTGGTCTGTCTTGTTCTGCCATCCTCCCTCCATTGAAGGGATCCCCTGCTGGGCTGCACATCTATGCTGGGGCGGCGCTCACCCTCCCCTGATCTGAATGGCATGATCTTTGAAATGGGCTATGAAGCATTTCCCTTGCTCAAGGATATTGAATCCTGGATGATGCAGGAAGTGTGGTTTGTTGGCTTGAGTTCCGATGGAGCACTGCCCAACATGGATGATGACTCTTGTGTGTTCCCCTTTGCAGTACATGTGCTCTTCATTTACAGATTCAGCAATGGGCCATGTTTCCAAGGGTTCTTGGTCAGTTGCAGATCGCATGAACTGACTTTTTGGCAAGGTAGATGAACCAGAGTACTACCCATATCCCAACAAAGGCATGAGTACAGGCTCACTGATCAGTTGCATCACCTTACACATAACTGGATGATGTTGAGTGATGTTCTCACTCATTCAGCATGCATGAGATTCTCCATACACAAGGAAGACATCATTTACTGCTATGTGACTACACTGGGCACAATCATGGTCCCCAAAGTATCTGGGCGCAAGATGTTTGATGTGATGGCCCTCAATGTGATAGGAGATCCTGTGAGGCAGTTTGAATCTGTGCACGGTAATGTATATTATCTACTGGACTTGAAGATGATGTTGAGCAGAGTGAGTACATCTCAAGCATCAGCACTGACCAAGCAGCTCATCTTTCACTGCAGAGCTCTCACATCCCTTGAAATCCACCGACCTTCAGTACTATCCCATTGTAGAATCTTCATCTGTTTGAGAGTTCTGGGAGGCCAATTACTGGGGTCTCCTTGCTCCAGACAACATCCTGACACCCATGGTCTGTCACACTGGCTGTAGCTGGTTTGTGGATGAGATGGTGTAGTGCCTTGATGGATGCTACTTCATTCCCTTGCAATGGGTTCAAATCAGCAGCCAACATGGACCCATGGCTACCGACGGGTGGACTGTCCACAACCAACAGGTAAGAAAGTACTGGATCCATGCTGCCACATAGCTCAAGCAGAGTGAACAGGGATCCCTTATCATACAGGCTAACACACGCACTCACCGGTTGGTTGCAGATTTTGACCAGACCTACCTGGACCTCCTTCCTGAATTGGAAGCAGGAACACTGATGTTTGTGGGTGAGTGCCTCCCACAAGACCTAGTTGATCTCTGCTGACTGATCAGAGGCAGAAGGCAGCAACCCACCACGCATGCCCAATTGCTGGAGAACACTCAGTAAAGGCTGTCGAGTGGTTTCCCTTCCTTTGATGGTGTGGGCAGACAATGTCTCTGGTAACCTCTTGAAGAAGTTCAACAAGCACCACATCATTATGGAAATGATCAAGTGAGTGTTTGTGAGTTGGGAAGAGATGAGGCAGCCTTGTCTCTTCCCATCTCAAGATTTGGGCAGAGATGCCCAACCATCAAAGCAGGAGGCTAATCCTCTCCTGCAGTGAGCTATCCTCCCAAGGAGGTATAGCCTTCGACCCAGCGATGAGAGAGGAGGTCATGTTCTCTGCATGGCTGGCCATCTTCACAGGGGACAACCCAGTTCAGTCTGAACTGTGTTTGCACCATGGCCCAGGCGTGAACATGCTCTGTTGAGCCTGCTGCATTCATTCAACTCAGAAGGAATGATGCACTGAAAAAGGTTTTGCACATCTATTTGAGGTAATGCCATCATATCACAAGGATAAAGGTGTCACTCACAAACAGGAAGATAGGCAACCTGCAGGAACCCCATGATACACTGAAGCACATTGACCACATGAAGGAGTTGGCCATCCAACCAGGCAATATCAGCAAACTCAACAAGATCAGGTATTGAACAGGAGTGACAGACAAGCTGGTGGAACTGGTTTTCAGGCATTAAGGGAGAATGGCATGCAAGCAAGGCCAAGGGGCGCAGGCAAGACACACACTGGATGTGAAGCTTTGCGCTGTTTTTGAGGAAATGAGAGGACATGAAGCAAGAAACTGCGCAGGTGAGCAGTCACAGCAATACTTACATGCATATGCTCATTAAACTGTCTGTCAGACATTAATCCACATATGCAGACCCTGGTTGAACCTTTGCATACCATAGAGCTGGGAATGGTGAAGTATGCCTGGGCTCACACCTGTGATCAGCTTGCTCCCAATGTCAAGAAGAAAGATGATTGCATTCTGTGTCACCCTATCAAAGGCACACCCATGAGCATTGTCCTCCAGCATCTTCAAGGAATGAACATGGAAGGATGGGGCACACTGGAGTTTGAACCAGAGTACATCTGCCAGTATTGGGGTGCCCTCAACAGGAAACATTTCCATACTTTGGTCCATTGTATGCCCTTTGTGCTGTGGGACCTAGTATCACCAGATACATTGGAGCTCTGGGTAATCCTCGGGCTGGCTTGTGCAAAGATCTACAAGTATAACATCAAAGATAAACTGAAGCATGAGGTAAAGTGTCCAGACAATGGATCACAGGTAGAATCATGCTGACCAATCATATCAGGAAGAGTTATGAGAAGTAATCCAGGCACTTCTTCATGCATTTGCCAGAGCCAATCCTGACCGCATGTGTGGAAAAGCAAAACCTCACTTGCTAATGCACTTGCCAGATCATGTACATCTGTATGGACCAGTGACACTCTTTACAACTCAGCAATTTGAACAATACAACTCAATATTTTGGGGGAGCTCTGTGCTCAGCAATCATCAATCCCCCAGTCAACATATCACATCCAGTTCACCCATCTGGAGCAAGTTCAACACACAGTTACTGGCAGATGGTTTCAAGATCATGAAACTCAGCTTTGGAGACAAGCATCTCCAAAAGTATTGGAAGAGATCTCTATGCAGGATCACTGGCTGCATGCATTAGGCCTCACATCATTGCTGGAGCTGCGCAGGAAAGGTAAGACATTTTCCAAAACCCAAGTATATATTATTTGACAGGCACAGGAAATGTTGGCAATCAATCAGACACCAACACAGTGCATTGGGATACAACATTATCACAAAGAGTCCATGCCGGCCTTTTTGAAGATGAGCAATTACTTAAAAGAGGGAGATCTATTGCAGCTAGGAATGGGGACCACATTTCACTGAAAAGCTTTCTGGTGTATGATGCAGGTGGTGGTGAGGTGAGGGTATCACTTCCTGTCATTTGCATATATACTTCTATGCTAGAAAGCACAGGATTGGACAGTTGCTGGAGATTTGTATAGACAAAGTGGACAAGAGGCAGGGTGCGATGTGGGTACTGGTTGATTGGTACACAGTGATGGAACCACACCCTCTGCTGAGCTGTCCTGAGCTGCTGAACACCAAGTCAGTGGAGCTGATGAACATCATGGTAAGTGGGTCATGACCAGTAACCCTCAACCAATTGCTTTACCTGAGTGTGTTTGCAGGTAGTGATCACCTGCGCAAACATCCAGCATGACTGCAGCCTTGCCGGTGGATGTGCCTGGTGTGAACTCACACATGAGATCCAGGAAGGGGTGACCACTCAGAGGCTGAAGACCAGTGTGGTGCACCGCAAAGACGATGCATGGGTTTTGAATGTGTTCAGCATTCACAACCATGACATCCTATCCCAACTAGTACCGTACAACATTTGAACAGTGATCTTCAACACTGACCTGTCTGACTTGTACAAGCACATAGTGGCTATGTTTCCTGCGACCAAGAGGGGGACCAAGGGGACGGAGGGTGGGAAGACAAGGAATGATGTGGAGACGGACTCAGAAGAGGAAAGCACCATGTAAATGAAGAAGGGTTGACCCCAGATGGGGTAGGACTATTGTATGCAGATGCATTGCCAAAGTGATCTCTAATACAAGTGATTGAGATGGGAAATGACAAGCCTACCCCTGCGTGGCAGCATCTCTCCTCATTGCCTCCACCCCTATGTGGGTGTCTTTCCAACTGTTGAGTTGGGAAGAGTTGAGGCCCCCTCTGCCCTCACCTCTTCCCTCTCCCTTGTCTCTTCCCTCTCTTGAGTTGGGAAGAGATGAGGCCACCTCAGTGTTCCCATCTCTCATTGAGTTGGGAAGAGGCAAGGTGACCTCCCCAGATCACATAGCCTCCCCTCAAACTAGGAAGAGACAAGTCAACCAGAGGGGAATCTCTTCTCAACTATACAAGGGGTTAAAAGAGGGTGCTTAAATGGGCATCAGCAAAGCAGTGCTGCCAAAGGTATACTTTGCATCTGTTTTTTTAACCCACTTTGGTTTGTTCAACCACTCACTTTTACAGTGATTCTGTCCACCTTGGTTCTGTGTCACATAGATTACCTTTGGGTTATTCTGAGGGAGGGGCATTTACTAAAGGGAGGCAGACAAGAGCAGGTCATAAACATATATCAGGTGAGTTGTGCATGTTGTCAATGATCACCAGCTGTTACACTAAAGATTGGTCACACTAGGAATGTCTGGGCTTTTCCTCAGCTATAGGGCTAGGTCAGCTGCAAGCCAAGGTGACGGTGGTGAGAGAACAATGGTGAATGGGACCAGAGGAGGAGGCAGCACTCCAGTAAGATCTAGTCCACCTTTCCCCATGCCCTCTGGGAGAAGCACCGGGAGCAATGGGTGGGAATCTCCACCAACAAGGGGCGAGCAGTTCGGGAGTGATGAAAGTATTGGTGACTGCCAATCAGACATGGAAGAAGAAGGTGCAACAGGGAAATGCAGTCGCCTTTGTAAGCAGTGCAAGCCAATGACAATGTCTGAGGGTTCAGACCACAAAAACCAGTTAAGATTCCAATTGGAGGCAGAAAATGAATCTAACTGACATCAGAAGCCAGAACTGGAGGTGCTACGCACTCTCAGGTTGATAGAGTCCATGGTACAATGAGAGGGACCTCCCCACAAGGTCCATGCTACCACACCACATGACTCAAAGAGATGGGGGCACTGGCAGCAAGAACTATGGGGATGTCATGCAAAGGTATGCAAAGAAGCTAAACCTAGATGCCAATATGGAAGACCAACTGATGGACTTTGCTAAAGAGGTGAGGACATATTGAAGGAGAAAGATACATGTATCAGAGGTTACATCTCTTATCAGCTCCTGCATTGGGAAGAGATGAGGCTGCCTCTGCTCCTCTGCATTTCCACCCTGAAATATTGACTTCATTTAACAGGGAGATGAATGAGTTTGTCAAGTCATCATGGTTGCCCACAACATGTGAATGGAAGGATTGTTGGAAGAATTGCATGAGGAAGCATTTGTGCATTGGAAGCTTAGCAAAGCAGCTACAGTATGGATGGGACTGCCCTCAGACCTCTTGTTGATGAAGGTCTAATAGGAAGAACTCACGCAAGAGATCTACACATGGCTGTGGAATCCTGGTCTAGCCAAATATGCACATGGCTTGTCAGTTGCTTTACTGGTATGTGGCAACATGCGAGCAGAATTGTTGACTGACAGAGACAACAGGATCATGTAGAGAAACACTGTCAGTGACTTCTGATACTGAAACAAATTTTCAGCATGTGTGCTCATGCCAAAACACTGTATCACAAGTTAGGCAGTATGTATTCAGACAGGAAGAAATGGGTGAAAATAAAGGCAAGCAAGAAATCTGCCTAACTTGGAGAAATGTGCTGACTGGGGGAGGGGGCAGTCTAATCAGATGGAGGAGACACTTGACAAGAGTCTTCCTGCTGTGCAACAGGCACTGTTTCTACCTGACATGGACTTTGTGTTTGGGATGAAGCACTACATTTGCTTGGCACTATTGGCAAGTAACTAGTGGAAACTGCTGAGCAAAACTAATGTGTTTGCCAGCATCACATCATGTGCTTTCACAAGGAACACTGCAGGAAAATGCTTCGATATCCTGAGAGGCCAGGGGCTGCACCTGAGACCATCAATAAGCACTATTGGTTTTGGGTAGATCAATGCCTGCAAAATACAGAGGATAGGTTGAAAACGCGCACAGCAATCTCAGAGTGAGTGAACAATGATATTATTAGCCTGTGCGCCCAACTGATGACCATTCTAGTGAGCTGAGAAAGATATACAAAGAAGATGATCTGGATTATCTGGCAGAGGAGAGCATCCAAACAGTGTCAGAAGGAACTGAAAAGAATGCATGGCAACTTGATATGGAGATGCTCGAAGGTCTTTGGTGAGAGTGGGAAGTGAAGTGTTGAGTTGGGAAGAGATGAGGCCGGAGGGGGAAGGGGGCAACAGTGGCTAATATAGCATGGAGTGGAAATGGCATGGGATGACAATTGAACAAGTGGTAGAGTCAATAATTGGATTGCTATTATACATTATTCTAATCATCAGCGCTGGTGTATACTGCAAACATAACTAATAATATGAGATGGTGCCCATGTAATAGGATGCCGGGAAAAAAACATTGCTCCAGATCTGATCCACTGGAAACCAGAGGGGATCTGGTTTCCACCTGGAGACCAGTGCTATTCCTGCAGTACTCCAACCCTATCCATCTGGAATACCAAAGGGAGGATCCAGGGGTTTGGGCTTGGCAAGTCAGCCGAAAATTGACCAAAGCCAGGGTGGCAGTGTATGCTGGCATACACATAAGCACACCATGGTCCTTGGTTGATTCCCCAGCTTTCCCGGGAGTCCATGGATACTCTGCTGCCAGCTCAGTCTCCAATTAGCAGGTACTAGGGGAGCCTATCTCACTTTGCTCATTGTTCTAGGTGCAAGGGTCTTATAGTTCCCATATTCCATCATGATATGTCCTGTGTCCCATCTCCTGTCTCCCATGCCCCATCTCCCATGTCCCGTGCCCCATCTCCCATGTCCTTCCTCCCATGTCCCATGTCCTGTGTCCTGTCTCCCATCTCCCGTATCCTGTCTCCCGTATCCTGTATCCCATATCCCATATCTCATATCCCATATCCCGTATCCCATATCCTGTATCCTGTATCCCATATCCCATATCCCGTATCCCATATCCCATATCCCATCTCCCATCTCCTGTCTCCCATGTCCTGTGTCCCCTGTCCCATGTCCTGTGTCCCATGTCCCATGTCCTGTGTCCCATGTCCTGTGTCCCATGTCCTGTCTCCTCCCCAGTGTCCTTTTTCAGTGAGTGCATTATATAGTAAAAGGTCAAGGGTAGAATCTTTATAGGGTTCAGGTTATAAGTCTTTTTCCAGTCTACATAGCACTGTAGTCAATATACATCATGTGTGATGCAAGTTGCAGGCATGTATTCAACATTATTTGTTGAACATGAACAGGAGATATGGGTTAGAGGTAGGGTTTAATATGGGCCAGGGTTAAGTAACCCTCAGCCTCCTAGGCTCCCGCACTGCCGCAGTGGAAGCAGATTTAGTTCCACTTCCAAATTTGGACTTAGAGTCCGGATTTACTTCCTTTGCTCAGCCTCCATGCCGGCATTTTCGCATGGCAGCCATGTGCTTCTTCGCACATGGCATTGGCTCCGTGCTTCTTCATATTTGCTTCACTATATAGGATAGCATCAGCGACCCACCGGAGAGAGGGCCAGATGACCCTGCAAGCATATGGCGTCCCATTGATTTCCTGATTGAACACTACTGATCAACGGGCGATGTTGCCCCGACTCTGGTTGTCAACCACTGCAAGCGGGATAATATGCAAATGACTCGCGCCGATGAAGAATTTCAATCTTGAGCGGTGCGCTAGCGCAAGTGGGCGATGGTCTGTTTCGAGAGTCACCGCCCTGCAGTGAAGCGAGAATCAAATGTCGTTATACCCCCGGTATTGTCCTCCCGAATATCTATTGTAACAAGTGGTTGACAAATGCTGAGATTCCAAATATGTTCGGAAAAGCTTTCCCCAGTAAAGACGTGGTGCATGAGGTAGAACGTGCCAGGTCATCGACAATATCGGACTCGATAATGTTTCGGCGTGGCGCAGAACCGCCGTGAGCTTCTTCAACTTTGATACGGTAGGTGCACAGCACGAGTGGCATCCTCGTCGGTATGGACGGGAAGTTATTGCGCTTGTGCTCGCGGAAACGTGTAAGTGACTCTGCCTGAAATGCGAACATTACACGATTACTGCGGACTCGCCGTGCATTGCCGGAGACCGATCATAAACTGTACAAGTCATGAAACCGCGGACAAGTGACGGTACTCCGATTGCATGAGAAATAGCACTGGAACGAATCCGCCCCATAACGACGGAGCATTCTGGTGACCGGTCGGAATGATTGGCAATACACCGTGTGTCATTGTTGATATGCTGTTCTCGACTGGTCAACCAATACAAACTCTATGTATACCAGCCTTTCAACGTTCGAGAAAGAGAAGGTTTTCTACTTCAACAGGAACGATAATATCAACCCTATTCTCATTCAAATCCCTTGTCCCGGGAAACCAACATATTTGGGCGGTGCTGCGCGGGTTGTCGAACGATGGAAAATAATGCCGTAATGCCTGCCTGAAACCATTCGGAGAAGAAACATGCATACTATACTGCAGGAGAACTGCGTCAGACGACTGGGACGGTCATATGTATGAGCACTTGTTTTGCTTTGCTATTGGACTGGAAGAAGGTATACAACTCTCAACTATCCTTGTGTGGGTTGCCCCTCGACTTTCAGGGCTAGATCAGGCGTAACCATGGCTACCCAAACCGATTGCTGCGGGAAGCGACTCGTTTCGGGTATTCAACAGTGAAGTGGTGGAGCCAACGTGTTAGTCCCAGAGAGCTTCCCTCAATGATAAGAACTGAATCTGGCAGGTTTAGAATAGGCATCGGAAACAATGGAATCGAGCATAACACCACGAACGTTCTGCCAACACTTCGAACTACACAGCGGGACTCCGGGCGGAGCTTGAGCAGTTGGCAGAATCGGACTGATGTAATAACGTATGCATTGCGGATCAAAATGACTTGTCAGAGAGGAATCGTATGAATGAGGGGTGTGCAGCAACCGAACGATCATGACCTCGGCAAGATCCATTAAATACACCGTCGTACAATCCCTTTCGCCATACCTTCCATCATCTTCTTTCGTGACTCCAGTAACTTCTTCCCGACTTTGTGCACGAAGTCGGGCCTGAACTAAGAAAAGCTATCAATAGGTTCGCCAGCATTGTAAGAATATGGTTCACCTCGGCCTCCTTCACAAGAGGCTCGCAGAGACCTTCGAATTCTGCCAACGGCTTGGAGCCGCACTCGTGCGATAACCGCGTCAACTCCTCCGAGAACTTCTTCAGCATATCCACCGCATGCTGGCGGACAGCCTTGACACTCTGGAACACGGGATCTCCCTTCTTTGCACGGCCGCTGGGAACCTTGAAAGGATATGTGAAGAGATCAACGAGGACAAAACCCTCGAGCGCGATGGAGACGATGTGAAGCAGCTCCCATGGGAGGGCATTTGCTTCCACAAGCTTTTGCAGTTCTGCCCACTCGTCTTGAGCTCTGTTAGAAACCATTGTCGCTTAACAGGAACACAGGCTCACCGTCGAAGAACTGAGTCACCCGCTTGCTAGCCTCCAAAGCCGATTCCTTTGTAGGCTCGGTTTGGAACAGTAGAACAGGTGAAACTGCTTCGACACCGTTGGCGTGACCATTGGTGAGCTTGCCGTCTGACTCGACAGGGAGAGCTGAGATCGGGGCTAGCCACTCCAGAAGGTCATCCGACAGTGTCATCACAGCTCTTTCGGCCTTCGTGAACTGACAAGCCGTCAATGCCGAGCCAGCAATATACCAAGGATGAGCTCACCTCTGTCTTGTCCTTGATTGACGCGGTGAAGCTTTCAGGGACATTATACACGTTTGACAGAGCACGCAGAGACCTAAGATATATTTTGGAGAACACATTAACCCAAGGGGCCATGCACTTCGGTCCAAGCTCGACCTGCTTGAGGATCTCCTGTCCCATTGGCTGCATATTCGGGATGACGGAGAAGTCCCGGTTGTCCGGGTTAGACTTGCGTTGCAAGTTAAGATCCAGGTCCTGGATCTCCTGCGGAATGCCGAGCATCTCGACGTTGTTGAGCAACTCGTGGGTAAGCGTCATCCGCAAGTGCTCGATGCGGATCAGGTCCCTCTGAAGTGAGTTCTCGATAAGCTCCTCGAAATTGAGGAAGTCCGGGATCTGCGAGTACTTCTCGTATTGGAACGCCTTGGTGATCATCTCTCCCGTCTCGGTCCAGTTATCAGCATAGATCGCACTCGCTTCGAGGCACTCGGTGAGGTAGGAGATGTCCCCACTCGCGCAGGTCGAGAACGTGGTAGCGCGATTCAGGACGAGCCAGGACAAAGTATCATGTTGTACGGTGCGGACGTTGGTTTCCCGGTAGTGATCTAAGCAGAGGGAAGAAGCGCCTAGAGATCCACGTTATTATTTCAGGACCCAGATACAGCAGGCATGACGCACCAAGTAACCGATACAAGCATATCAACAACAGCCTGAGTTGGTACGCCTTCTCGCTCTTCACAAGCCCATATTCAAGCACGCACACTGCTTGCCAAAGATGTTTGAGCTGTCCGTCCCGCGCCCACGCACCGACAAACGCCTGTGCCGCAAGGAAGCAGAAGTCGTCTGCCGGCTGGAGCTCGACAGGCTTCAGATCCTTCCCTAGCGGAAGGGCGTCGCGGTACAGCTTGAGGAATGCGAACGCTTGCGACGACGCTTGCGAGGACGCTTGCTCGGCTGTGGGCTCCCCAGTGGTAGACTGCCGGTGGCGGAGTAGCTTTTGGATGGTCAAGGTAGTTTCGAGTGCTTGAGGGGTTGTCTACCGGGAGAAAAATCAGCACACACCTTCTCATTAAAGCTCATTAAAGCGCTGAGGACGCACCACGTCCGGTGTCCAGCTCTTCAGATGCTCTATCCACTTGCCCAGCTCCTCCTCTCCAAGCACCTCTACAAACGGTTTCAAATCGTCGAAGCAGCACGGTTTTTCCGAGAACTTCTCCAGGTAGACCTTCATCTGGTCCACCCGAGGAGGGCTTCCCGTCGTGAGAAGAGGTTCGAGTGCACGAGTCCGTTTTTCCAGTTCGAGGAGGGCAAGTGAAGGGGCGCGCTCCTTTCGTCCAACTTGGGCGACGAGAGACGTGAACAGAGCTTGAGCGCTGGCGATACGCTCTTGCAGTGGAGGGAGGGCAGCTAGTTCAACCTTGGTTTCCTCGTGTTTCTCTTTTTCCGCATCTCCATTCGTTTCACCGTTCGCAACTGGCACTTCAGGGACGATGAACGTCCCCTCCAACATAGCCAAATAATTGTTCCAATTCCCGTCCCCTGCCTCAACCTTCTTCTTGCACCGCAACCTCTCCCCTTCCCAATCCCCAACACGCTTCGCCAGTCCCCTTCTCACATCCTCGAGCACCAGACCGTTCCTGCATAGTTCCTCGCCCTTCTCGCTCTCCAGCAGCTGCCGGGCGGTGGTCACATCTCCCAAGCCGAGAAGAACCTGGAGATGCAAGTGGAATCGGTCGGGGACGATCCATGAGGGAGTGTCGCTTGTTGCGAGATAGCGTGCAGCCAGGGAAAGGAGGATCTTGGACATCTGCTCGGGGGTTTCGGGGTCGGAGGCCTGAGAACGCTGAGGTCAGAAATATCCAGGCTGCGAGCACACTGACGCACCTGCTGGGTCACACTCATGAGATACCAATACAAATACCGGTCATGCTTGACCGTTTTCCAAAGCTTTAATCCAACCTATACGGGTCATCAGCCCTCGTTACCTTTGCAGGAAACTACACGTACCTGCTGGGCGGTCTTCCAACTCCTGACCTTGATCATCGCCAAGAAAGCTTGTGCCCCAATCTCCTCATTATCCGGGTGTTTCTTGAATGCATCATCATACAGAGTGACGATGTCTTCGTCTGTAACCCCATTCCAACCCCAGGCGTGCGTAAGCTCAGAGGCGTAAATCAAACAAGAGTAGACTCACGGCGTCCCAGAGGTCGAAGGGTGAGGTTGAGCGCAAGCAGGGTGCTCTCGTCCGAAGGCTTATTCTTAAGGATCTCGTCGCATAGCTGAGATGCTTCCTCGGTCTTGAGCCCGCGCTGGAGGGCGAGCGCTTTTAAGGCCTGTACAAGGCCCAATAAGCCCTTCCCCCTAAACGCAAACACCGAGTGGATAAATCCATACCTTTACGATATCCCAATTCGACTTCTTCTTGAGCAACTTATTGCAATGCTGCAAGGCACTCTTGAGCGAATTCGTCTCGAGGGCAGCTGCGAAAATTTCCCCCCCTCAGCCAACCAAAATTCAGCCATTTCCATCAGGGACTTGCCATAGATTGGCTTGAGCTGCCTCTCCTCTTGGGGGTCCATCCGGCTGCACCACACTCACCCAAAGTCTCCCTCAGAACGAGCAGGAGACTCAGAGGTAGACAGTAAGAAGAAAAGAGCAGGGATAATGCCTATTGCTGTCTGTAGCAAAGTGCTGTAAAAAGTGAGGTGTGGTGACGGAGTGTGGTTGGCTAATGGTTGCCGGCTCTGCAAATTCTGACGCGCTTTCCGGGCCCTGCCGATTCGGCCGATGTCGCGTCAACTTCACCTGTCACGTCTCTCTTTGAACTGTCACCATGGGACTGATAACAACCATTTGAATGTTGACAACAGGTCCAACGAACAATCTTCGAAAAGAGGCAATGCGCCTGATAATTACTCAAACGTTCTGATTGCAGCAATGTCGGATGCGGGGAAGGGTCGCCGCGTCGCACGGTCGTGATCTTGCGCCTTTTCTACTCTCAAACATATCCAGAAACGTGCTCTTCGGGAATAACGGGTCTCGCTCTTCCTCCTCCGCTGGAGTCGGACCGGTGTTTTCACCGCTCTGATTCATGGGCTGCTCTCTCTCGGATGTCGGCAACAATTCTCCGACATCCGCCACATCTTCACGTCATATCGGACAACGTTCCGCCGCCCTGCGGAAGTCTAGATCTGGTACTGCTACCGGACATCGGCCCAGAAGCGTGGAGGTCGGGCCGAGTCTGGGCTACTTGCGAATGCGACTGAATTGGTTAGCACAATGGAGGTGATCAAGGGACCTTGCACAGGCGGTGTGGAGGGATGGAGGCTTGTCGGTTTATATTTGTCCATGGATCTATCATCGATAGGCTTCGCGGGTCGATTCTTACGGCGCCGAGTGTTCCTTGGCCTACACTTCACTGGTCTTTCCTCACGACGGTAAAGTGATCTGAGAAACTCGGTCAACAATGCCTGTCGAGTACAAGTATTTGTCAGAGGAGCAGCGCGCCTTCTTCCTCAAGCACGGATGGATCAAGATCCCCCAGGCGATGAACCCCGAGTTGCGGAAACTCTGGCTGGACGACGTCTGGGTCCGCCTGGGGTATGACGAGCACGACCCATCTACCTGGACGGAAGAGTACGTCAAGCTCCCCCGGCATAGGGAGGTGAGGGCCGAAGAGTTTGCTCCTGATGCATGGAGGGCCGCCTGCGAGCTCGTAGGAAGCGAGGACAGGGTGATGGAGAACCGCGAAAGGTATAATGGTGATAACTTCATCCTCAATTTTGGGAGCGACCACTGGAAGACGGTCAGTTCTTCGCCTCTGCTGGGATGTCGTTACTGAATGGTGACATGTGCAGCATGAGGTTCCCCCACAGGAGGTTACCGGCTGGCACACGGACAACGACTGGTATCGCCAGTTCCTGGACTCAGCGGGCAGCGCCCTCGTCATGATCCACTGCTTCACCGACATCCTCCCCGGGGGTGGCGGGACTCTGCTCTGCGAAGACGGCACTACCGAGCTAGTCAAGACGTTGTACGACCACCCCCAGGGCTTGGAAGTCCCGTTCGCCCAGCGTTGGACGCACGTCAGAAACTGCAAGGTGTTTACCGAAGTCACAGCCAAGGCGGGCGATACGTTTATCTGCCATTGTTATACCCTGCATACAGCGAGCAAGAACCACCACAGGAACTTGAGGGCCATCACCAACCCCCATGTGAACCTCAAAGAGCCGTTCAACTTGAATCGCGCGGATCCGTCTGATTACGTGCGTATTCTCTATTGCTGCGGTTCCTTGTAGATGTGCGGCTAACGTACATCCAGTCTCTCGTAGAGCAGCTCATCCTCGACCGGCTCGGCCGTACCTCCCTGCCCGAATGGCACATCACGGCCCCCAGGCGCACCTTCTACCCGCGGAACTACACCGTCCGCGCCTCCCGCGTTCCCGAAGAGCTCGAGCGGATGATCGCCGCCGCGCGTGCCAAAGGTCTTGGCCCGGAGAGCGTGGACAGCATATACCTCAAGGGGGAGGAAGCGATCAGGGAACATGAGCGGAGGAACGGGTTTGACTTACCGGATGGGCCGAACGCTTATGCGAAGGGGACCATGATGTACAGTGATGATATTGTTGTTAAGCGGGCTGTTGATGAGAATGCGGATCTCTCGATGATCGAGCCCGTCAAGCTTGGGGAGGTGAAGGCCTAAAAATGTACTGTTTACTGTTGGTGGTCTTTTTTCTTCTGTCCGGAATGTGAATGCATAGAAAGAATATGAAACGTTCCTCGTGATTGCCTTCTGTCTCCGGTGAAGCTATGTGGTCTAAATCTACGGCGTTAGACCACGCAATTGCGGACATTATGTAGGGCATATAACAGTCTCATGCATTGCAAACATACTGTTACAGTCGTTACGGGTATACCATTATCAGATGCAGAGTATTAATGAAGTCAATATCCTAACATAACAAGAAAGTAGGCAACATGGAACAAACAGCATATGCAAAGAGGGGGGGAAACTTCATTTCTTCGGCGGCGCAGGGGTCTTGGGCCTTGCAGTGCTGGGAGCGGGGGTGACAGACCTGCCTGCATCATCGTAGATGGGAGCACCAGCTATGGGGATGCCGGGGATGATAGAGTCGGGGAGGGGAATGCCGACCCTGCGAGTATTGGGCCCGGGAGTAGTTGGCCTACGACCTCCGGGGAAGAGTTCGTCTACCGTGGTATGGGCATGATGGGCCTCTGGCTTCGAGGCAGTGGATCACCGTGGGCAGGAGCGCCAGCAATAGGGGGAGGATTGGGCGCTCGGGGGATGGGAACGTTAGAAACGCGAGTGTTGGGACCGGGGGTGGCAGCCCTGCGATTCTCGGTGGTGGGAGGACCGGGGATAGGAACGACGAGGTTGGGGAGTCCGCGGCTGGGAACAACGGGCGGACTGCGAGGCACGCGTTTGAAGGGCTTGACACCCCAAGGGAAGAAACCTCCGGGCATGGGCTTGATGTCATCGGGATCGGCATAGTTGGAAACAGCGGACCTGAGAGTGGTTGGCCCCGGAGTGGCAGCCCTACGGATAGTGGCCGCAGAAGCGGCGGCCTTGGGAACGGGTTTGGGGCCAGGGAGGTTGGGAACACGGGCCTTGTGAGTACCGGGTTCGGGAGTGCTAGCTTTGCGACTATCGGTCGTGGAAGCAGACTTGGGAACGACGGTGTTGGGGACGGCAGGGTTGGGCTCACTAGACTTGCGAGTCCTGGGACCTGGAGTGGCAGTCCTGCGATCGCCGGCTATGGGGGCCTCCGGATTGGGGAGACCACTGACGGGAATTCCAGGCATGGGACTGCGGTACCTCGGATTGTCGATCATGGTGGCGCCCAACCCGGGAGGTACAGGGTTGGCAATACGTGGAATGGGGACAACGGGATTGGGAGTGTTGGCCCTGGGAATATCGCCTCTGGGAGGGACCGGCAGTGGTGCGCCAGGAATGCGGACGGGGGGGACGGTAGTGCTGGGCCTTGGACCACGGTTGGGAGCATTGGGGTTAGGAGCAACAAACTTCCCATTGTTCCACCATCCTTCCGGTAACCCGCAGGGCAGCGGGCTCGGAGGCAGCGTGGTCTTCAGATGCTCCCCGGTCGGTGGTATCCAAGTTCTCCGCTCGTATAACAATCTTTCCGTCTGCAGTCTCAGCTTCGTGTCTTCCTCGATCTTCTTTTGCTTCGTGTTACATGCATCACACTTGCCATGACGCCTGGATTCGAAGGGCTCTGCGCAGACCGTATCCCAAGGAGCAGGGCAAGTTGGAGGAGGATCATTTGGAAACAATTTCTTGCGAAGTTCCTGTCGCTCGCGGAGTTCTTTGGAGCAGCGCATATAAGGGCACTCCTTCTTCTGAACAACAAAGTGGCTGCAGGCCATATATTCTATCTTGTTCGTCCAGATTATGCACATCTAGACAATAAAGTTAGCTTCGCTCAGTGCAAGAGCACATGAGGAACAAGGCTGCTCACTTGGAGAGCTGTTGGTGGGTTCCTGTCTCTTCACTTGACCAGAAGAAGTTGGAAGATGACCGAGGAAAAGAGGACCTGCCATGTTGGACCAAATTTCATACCGCGGGAGTAGGGCAAATTGTGGATTGTGGCGAAGAAGGGGAAATGTGGCGAACGGCCCAGATCCTGCATCGCAACGACGGGCAGCGGTCAGAGTGCGAAGGGTGGCAGGCCTAGGCAGGCTCTTCCAAAGATTGACAGTCGACGACACCGCCGCAAGGAAGAGAGCGCTTGTGGTGAATGGCAGGGAGGTCGTCTCTAGTATATGCGTTGTTCACTAACAGTTTCGATCCACGCTTTGCCCTTTCCGAAAATTCCCTATCTCATGCCGCAAATCAGAACGCTGAACGTTCATATTTGAGGATAAGGGTTTTGGAAATAATCATTCGAGGCCAAAGTGAGACCGCAACGGGCGCCTAATGGAAGAAGAACCTAGCACCCCGTTGCAAGTATAAAGTGCGCCAGAGCTAGCGTTAGACCTAGCCTGGAGAGGCAAGGCCATCGCGTCCGGATGCTCAGACGTGCACAGTTAATTACCAGAAGAGCTGATGTACTCCCGGGAAAGCGAGAAGCGACTGTCGTCAGGCCAACAAAGAGGCCACCTCGACCGACGTGACGCGCAGGCTCTCTGTTCCCTGACGCGTTGTTTGGATTTCGTCGCTCCCATACCGGGTGAGGCGATCCTCGCCAGACAATGCGGTTGACTAGTGATATCCCCCAATCTCGGTCGGACATGGACCGCAGCTGACTTTCCAAGCGCAAGAGCCTAATTTATGCCGTTAAAGCGGTAGTCTCGACTGGGAAAAGCGCACGATGAAACTGTACATGAGGTCTGGGCACCGAATTCGGCAACGAACATGAAAGCTTCAATCGGTAGACCTCTCAGTATGTATTTGTTTTCCATCATAATGCTTGTCGTTGTTGCAGCTGCACTGATTCTTTGGCGGACGCGGTACAGAGCGAGCACTACACTCTTATAACTCCAGTCCTTGTCGATTGGTGATAATCCAATATTTTACGGGGTTTCTTCCCGAGTGGAGTTCTGCTCCTCCATCTTCTGCTGGATTTTCTCCTCGGTTCTTTGAGGCCCTTTTAGCCGCCTGCGCGAGTCTTTCGACTTTGTCCCCGCAGCATCCTTGATAATCGCTTCGATCTCCGCCCAGACCCCCTCTAGACCCGCTCCTGGCTCACCCCAGAACCGGCGTTCAGCACCGGTCAGATCACCAAGAACGAACGACACCATGTCCCTGCGTTCCTGCCGATTGTACTCTCCAATCCCCAACCGGATGCGCCAGAACACATCGGTTTTGAGGGCACGCATCACGTCCGTAACGCCATTATGCCCCCTGGCCGATCCAGACGCTTTTCGACGCACTTGCATGGGCGCTAGGTCGAGGTCATCATGCAGCACGATAACGTTGCTCGAGCCCTGTGCACCAGACAGGAGTCGTGAGGTTCGGTTTGAGAAGAAGTGCTGGTAGGCAGCGAGGACAGCGTTTCCCGAAAGGTTCATCAGCACTTCTACATAAGGTGGAATAGTCAGATAAGTAATCAAAGAGGACGAGGCGAACTGACGGCTGCTGGCGAGGACAAGTCGCACCTCCTGTCCATCCCTCCCTGATGGAACACGGACAGTCGTCTCGGCGGTCAGACACTTTGTCTTCCCTGTAGATTTGAGAGTGAGGTTGAAGTTCTTTGCCAGATTATTGACGACCAACAACCCGGCACTGCGATCGTGTGCTCAGCCTAGAGGGATCGCCTGGAAGCTAGAATCAACACACCTGTGACGAGTGTATGGCATGGTATAGTTGCCGATCCCTGCGATCAGGAATTCGAGAGGCAGCTTCTTCACATGGTCAAGAGCTGCTTTCATAGGTGCAGTCATGGTGGTATTGTCGTTATCTTCTAAATTCCATATGACGAATGAATAGCAAGATCAGTCTATATCGGTGCTGGGATGCGAAATGGGAATAACAAACCAAAGTCAGGGATATCTTGTGCTTCGCGTCACTTCGCACAACGATGAGCGTGTGATCTAGGGGATGCACTCGCTTGGACAACAACAGATTCAAAGAACTGACAGCTTAACAATTACAATCTGTCTTTCAAGTGCTAGTGTGAAAGTTCTGCTGGAATAGATGGCACCTGCAGCGCCAGCGACACCGTCGCGTGTTGAGCTCGTAGGTCGAACTCCTATCACATCACCTTCAATGCTCACACGACCATAGCGAAAGTTCGTCCTCAATTACCTCTGCCACTACTGCTTCGTAGACACAGCAAAGGCGTTCTCCAAATGTGTACCGCTCCAAGGTTGGTACGAGGGCGAGGAAGGGGGCATTAGGCCGGAAGACGTCGTTCTCACCGAGGATCATGCTCAGCAGCTGAAGGTCAGGCGAGGTGTGTACTCCTCACCTCACCTCAACTACTCTTTCATATGTATAACGTTGATACAGAGATACGAGAAGACATACTATCAGGGAAGATACCCGCCGCTCGAGAGAACATTACCACCCACTTTCCCAGCGTCCTGTCCGACGACCCACCGCCGCCTCCACCCCCGACGCTGCCACACATCATCCCCACACCACCGCCTGAGATCCCCCAAACGCGTGTAATACCCAGCTTCCCATCCTCTCTCTCACCGCAGAACATAAGCATCACATTGTCGATCCAACAATGGATAGAGACGCTTCGGACCGTTCCTCTCCCTTATCCCGCATCCCCCTCACCAGTCTCCCCGGGTACGTCGGTAACTGCTACTCCCGTGCTACCAAGCTTCGAAGCGCAAGATCAAACCGCACTCATCGTGATGGGCCGGCAGCTGTACGCTCGCGCGCGCCAGCTCAACCCTCCGCATAACGAACAGTTTCGCGAAGAACTAGTTGGGATCGCTAGCCTGATAGCCTACAAAGAACCGGAGAAGGCACCAGAGATTGTACGACACCATCTGGAGTGGAGCAGGCGAAAAGGAGTTGCCACGCAGGTGAACAGTGCTATCCTCAGTGCGTAACCCCGCCGTCCCAAAGACAATATGCGCTAATGACACAAGGCTCGTTGGGTTACCCGCCTTACGTACCCCTCGCTTCCCTCGTCCGGCAACTTACGTTCGTCTACCAAATGCTCCATGAGCTAGGCGTGCACCCACCGGAAGGAGGACAGCTGGGGGGCATCGAGCTCCTCGAGGCGTCCGAGGATGATCAAGATTGGGCCGCTGAGGTATGTACCGGCTCACTCACGGTATATTCGCTAATTGGGACAGGCGATACCTGAGTTCCGTCTGTCTGCGTATCTGTACAAGGACAAGAAGGGGAAAGGCGATGTGGAGGCAATCTACAGGACGGACGACGATGAGGACATGGATGCGGATGGGGAAGCGGAACCAGCGCCAGAGGATGGGGATAAAGATGGCGAGGAAGAGGGAACGATGGAGACAGAGGTATGACAGCCAGTCGGACATTGTTGTATCTATATTTCAGTATGTTGAATGTATCCCGGAGCGCTGGATCGCCAGTTTGTTCGGAACATATCAATTCCCTAGTAGAGTTTTGGAAAACGGCATACAAAGCATGTATCGCATGTCACCATGACATCCCCCCATCCCACAACTCACGCACCCAACCACTGCCCACAGGACACGATCTCGCCCCGAGCCAGCACCAGCTAGCTCAGTTCATCTGCCTGATAAGGTTGTTGATGTTGTGCTCGCGGTTGCCGACATCACCACCCTGGACGTAGTGCTTGAACTTCCGTGTGCGCCAGCCACCGTTCGGGTTGGAGAGCTTGAATGGCCAGAGGAAGTTGGACGCGTGCTTGAATGCCGGGCCGGCGGTGACGATCTCGTGCACCAGATCCTCCATGCAGAGGATGTCGTACTTCCCAAGGGTCTTCTCGATGGTTGCGTTGTCGGTGAGGGGAATGCGCTGCTTGTCGACCTTGCCGTAACCGCGCTTGTAGATCAGTTCGCGGACTGACTTCAGATTCGGCTCGCCGTAGGTGATGTAGGGCTCGACAAGGCGGAGCATCTGTGCTGTTGCCTTGGTCACCTTGATGAAGACACCGTTGTTGATTTGACGAAGGCGGAGGAGTTGCAAGATCTTTCGTGGCTTAGGTGCAACCTTGGAGATACTGGAAACAAGGATAAATACGACATGCGAGCCGTTATTATGCACGATACGCACCCCTTGATACGGACAACAAAGAACACCTTCGGTTGAGCCTCGACGTAGTAGTCCCCGCTCTTGCGCGCCTCACGCTTCAGCCGGAACTCCTCACGCTCCGAATCAATGTACTCTTTTGTATATGCTTCAGCACGCTTGAAGATCACCCCGCGCTTCGTTTTGCGTTGCTGGTTGCATGGTCAGTACACAGATATAATGAAAGCACAGAGAACGTGAAGATCAGTCCCGAAAGATGGTTAAATTGACGACCTCATCGCCGCAGCTGGTCGAGGATCGATAGAACGGTATCATCACAAAGAGCACTCCAAAAGGAATGCATGAAAGGTAGCGGTGCCAAAGAGAGCACACACCTTCTTCGCCTCGACGGCAGCGGCCAAGCGCTCCTCCCTAACCTTCTCATTCTGCTTACGCTTCTTGAGGAGCGTCTCGGGGACCTCGACGAACGAGGCTGATGGTACGCTGTGCATCGACGTCAGCTAAGCATCCTTCACATAGAGAAAACAAGGGCGTACGTGGTGGACATGTTGGTTGTCGGCGGGGAGGGAAGGGCTGTCGGACGATGTACAGTTCAGCACACGCTCACCCGGCATCGAACGTCGAGGGAAATGCTTCCGCAAGGGCAAATCAAAACTGTACAGTTCGTGGCTGCCCTCATTTGGTAAAGTAAGTGGCAGTGTAGTCATGTGATTCTTTTCGCATTCTCGGAGCCGGAAAAGTCCCGGGCGCTTCTCTCCACCGTTTCGTCATTACGCAAGCACAGCGAACAGCGCCTGAGCACGTCGGTAACGATGCGTTCGGACTCACCAACAATCTATTTACTACCCATGCTATTTGTTGTATAATATCCCAGCTCCATTTCTTATACTCATCGGAAAGCATCTGCATACCCTCAGTCCTTAGCTTCACTTGGTTGCTGTAGACTATGATGACGACAGGCGAAAGCAGTCAAGTATCGAGGCGGGTCAACGAGCTCTTGGCTAACGCGAGGTGCGCACCACGAATTGCGGAATAAAGATGATTGTTATGGACTTCGTCCCAGAGCCGAGCATACACGACATGTTCAGAATCTCACACGCGCGGCTCGACATGCTCCATCACCCACCGTCTACTCACCGACGTTGCCATTCCTTCTTCCTACACCTGTAATACCAGAGCCTGCTCCCGCTGCTCAGCACCCCGCGCATCCTCAACCAAAGAAGCCAGCCGGACCATCTCCACCACGCAGTTGGGTTTCCCATTCTTCTCCCTCTAATCCGGGTGTCGACCTCCTTTCAGCAGCCCCGATCAGCTGTAGCCTTCGCAGAGAGCTGTTGAGCTCCGTGTTCCGTCGCTTACCAACGCCGTGGAATGTGGAGGAATTCCTCACACTCGTGGACTGGTGTCTCCTCAGCTTACTCGACCCCTTCGACGCCGACGCGATCTTTGATCTTCCTGCACACCTCCGGCGGAGGCTCGTCCGTCTCGCAGCACTCCGATGCCCGTTAACCCGGGAACAGCTCGAAGTATGTTGGGGAGATGGCTATTCTGGTACAGGAGGGGAGGCGATTATCATCGGGCGAGAGGCATATGGTGCTCTTCGACAACTTTTGCATGCGTTACGCCGCGCGAGTGAAGCTCCTGCGCCAGAAGAGGCCTGGGATACGCCTCTCCACCTTCTTGCGGCTCCACCGATACCGGTGCTTCACACGTTGGTGCTGGTCAAGACCCCCCTTCCATCACTCGCACTCCTACCGCGTACGCTGACCCACCTGTCGCTGGTGAGATGCACCTTCGACTCAATACGAACAGCCCGCAACCTTCCGAAGTCGCTTCCGCTGCTGGAATGGATCGAGGTGAACGAATGTGAGGGTATAGATGGGGCTTGGTTTGAGGGAGTGGACTGGGGTCGGTGGGCAGGGCTCGTAGGAGTGAGGCTCGTGCCTGCCCCGCTAGAAGGATTAGTGGTGGATGGTGGTGTGCCAAGAGTAAGGGAGAAGGAGAACTGGCAAGAGAGGGTGAGGAAGAGGATCGAGAATGGAAGGATGGGGGAGGTGGAGATTTGCTTTGACTAACATGTTGAGAATATCAATGGATATCTTAAGTAAAAGACGTCAAGAGATTGCGTAAAAACGACTGATGCCGGTGTCCCTTGTCAACTAGTTTGCTTCCCAACGATGACTGTGCCCATCAACACGCCGTTCTTCGCGCATGTTGGCGCGCCTCTCAACACGCTCCTTCCCTTCCCTCCTCTCTCGTTGCCCTTCATTCCTCCTCTCTATCTCAGGTCATCAGCAGAATATGTCTATCACAACGCCCGCACGAGAGCCCAAGCCTGCGCTCCAAGTCGCCCCCGTCGGTGAACACAAGGCGACAGTCTTCTGCCTTCACGTTCGTAACGCTCACCTTTGATGTTTGCGCAAGAGGTTGAACTTCGTCTTTTATACTAGGGCCTGGGAGGATCAGGCGACGGGTGGCTGCATGTTATAGATGATATGAAGAAGAGGGAAGGGTTGAAGGACGTGAAGTGGGTGCTTCCAAACGCGTATGTCTCGTCTCGTCTGGTCCATGCGAGAGCGTAACGTCTGAGCAGACACGGCGCGCAATCACCGCGAACTTTGGGCAAGAGAGTACGTCGTGTCCTAGTTAAGTAGACCTGTGAACTAACAAGAGTCCGTAGTGCCAGGATGGTACAACGTCCTGCGGATCGACGATTCCTCCATTGCAAGGCAAGAAGACGCCGAAGGCCTGTGGTCAAGTGTCGAGCGCATACATGGAGTACTCGACGAAGAAGTGACCGCCGGTATACCTAGCGAACAGATCGTTCTCGCCGGGTTTAGTCAAGGTGCAGCGGTGACGATGGCTTCTGGACTCACGTATTCCAAGAAATTGGCTGGCATTGCTGTATTGAGTGGATACTTGATGTGTGCGGACAAAGTGTGGGAGGTTCGTCGGTTTCCCTTCGCTGGAGCTGAGGAGGGAACTTATATGGGTCGTTGCACAGCGGAAATCACCTTTCGTGCCGGAGCTGCCGTTCTTTCTCGCGCATGGAAACGACGACGCCGTGGTCAGCATGGAGACGAGCGAGACGAGCGTCCAATCCCTGAAGGACAAGTTCGGGTACAAGCCGATCGAGGAGAAGGGGAAATTCACGGTGATGTATTATGAGGACGTAGGGCATTTTGCTGCCGATGAGGAGATTGAGGATCTGGTAGAGTGGCTCGAAGAGGTGTTAAAGGTGAAGCAGGATTAGAAGCGGTTGAGAACCCTTCGTTGGGCTGCGAAGATGCAACTTCCATTCGGATCGCCTTTGCAATATCAATGACAACGCTCGATTTACTCATGTTGTCCTCTAACGACTCAGTCTTTGGGAGCCTTTTCATTTGTTCAATAAGATAACAGCACTTTCCAACCAGTGTCGGAGTCATGACCTGACAACATGCAGTTTCCGGAAGCGCGCTTCTGGGCGCTTGCACCGGAAGTAAAACTGGCCAATCACAGCCAAGCGGGCTCAAAAGATCCCCTGGTGCTTCTCCCTCAAGTCGATTCATTTCCTAGACAGCTTCTGCCCTCCTCCTGCCATGGATGAGCTCATCAAGAGCTGCTTGCGGGAGATCGCATTCGATGGCGACTACGGTAAGCTTCGCGTTCAGTCCCGCGTGTTGGTGGTGCTCACGAATTTCTGTTCGATTCTCGTCTCTGTCAACATCTATTGCTATCCAATCTGTCCCTGAATAAGGTTGCGACGCGTCCCGCCTGAAGACCTTTATCGAAAAGTTCTATTGTGGCAATAGCAAGACGCGGCAAAATGTGGATGATGGGTTCCGCGCCCTTGTCTGGACTTATATCGTCCAACACCCATCTGTTCGCGTGGGGTTCCGCCCACCATCTGTGACGGAGGACGTGTTCATCGCCGATGATATCGATCGGTCTCGTAGCAAGGCCACGAGGCGCCAACGATATGTCAATCAAGGGAATCGCCTCGCGCATGAAGAAGGCACGTCCCTGCCTGGACTGATATCTCTAAGGCCGGAAGAGGTCGAAGACTCCAATCTCGACCAGTTGCTCGAGAAATACGGCCAAGATCTCAGAGTTGCAGTCGATCCTGAACACTGCTTCCAAGCTATCACCGGTTCGACATTAACGCCAGCAAAGCTGACACCAATGACCTATTCCACGCTTCAACTTGTTGCTCGAGCCAGGGACAAGGGCATAACATTCGTCGAGCTCTCCCGCATTACGGGATATGCCGCTGGTGCTGTCTTCTATCTCATCAAGGTGCTGGAAAGTGCAGGGCTTGTGTATGCACAATGTGATACGGGTGAGACACATCTGACAAGGACTTCAATAGGAAAAAGTTCGCTTCAATCTCTGGGACGGGTATTCAAATGGCCGTGCACATTCATTTTTGGCTGCATCACCCCGATTGGCAAAGAATCCGTGCTGAGGAAGCAAGGGACGATGTTGACAGAGTTTCCAAGCTGGAACCCTCCGGTGGTGATGATATGTCAGTCGATGACGGGACGCAGCAGGGACTAGATGAAGACATCCAAGACTCCTCCAATCTAAAGTTTGACCCACTGGACGACAGGCACCTCTCACGGCCGGACCTTATCATTAATAGGGTCAACAAGCTGTTGGAACACTCAAAAAACTATTGCCATAAACAGTTTGATGTTCTCCTCCGTATCGTAGGTCATTTGTCCGGAAGGATCAGGTAAAAGACAGCTGATTTGGCGTAGGGTCTGCTCAATCCGACGAAAGTCCAGCGGAAACGTTTCAGCAAGATCATCAATGCAGCGGTCTCTCAAGGACTGCTTGAACGTTTTCACGTGCCTTCCCGTGTCGAAAGACCAGGCGCGCCAGCTACGGCTCGAGTCCTTCGCTTAGTCCCCGGAGAGAAACGAAATCTCAAGTACACTGCGGCGGATGAAACAAGTGGGGATGCAGATGCGAGCGCCGATGCAGATGAGAAGGAGGCTGAGGCTCATGGACAAGCTACCCACCAGAGCACTCGTTACCTCGCGACGCTGAGTCTTCAAAGGAATTTGTTGAATGTCGTCAATGCTGCTGGTATGCAAGGCATCACTTACGTCGGAATCATTCGCGAACTTGGGTTTTCCGAGCAGCGCATGTGCGAGGGCCAGCTCCAAAAACTGTCCAAGAAGGCTAACGTCTTGCCTCATCTTTCCGACCTCGGCATCGTGCTGTTGACTGAGACTATCGGCCGCAAGCGACAGCTGAGGCTGTACACGACGCACAATTTTGCGATTCTCCTGAAGGAGGAAGGCTTCGAAGATCCTGACGACGATCATCCTCAAGAGGATTTGCAGTATTCTGGAGGATTCCTTGTTCGCAGTTCAGGTGATTTCTATCGCGATGATGCGGAGCTGCAGAAAATCGTCGATCATTACGATCCTAAACGATTCTCGGATAAGTATATAAGAGTGATCCGACCTCCCCGTCCAGGACAACCAGAGAAGAACAGGAATCCCATCGGTGCGGATGGCAAGCCGAAGAAGGGAAGACCGCGAAAGTACCCTGAAGGAGAGTCGAGGGCATCTATGGCCAGGAAGCGCAAGTTAGAGGAGGCTGCTGCTGCGGAGATTACACTACCGCCAAAGAGGCAACGGACGAGCCGGAAAAGCCTGGTTTCGGTAACTCCTGCAGAACCATCTGAGACCGGAACGGAATCCGTGCTACCCGAAAGCATACAGGCTCCCCCGGTAGCACCGAAGGAACGCAAGAAGGTGTGATGCAATGCCATGCAAGCCGAGTACGTGTGCTAACTGTTACCAAGCCTGGTCGGAAACCTAAACCTAAACCCGAAAGACCAACCATCTCGTCGATTGAGGTAGGGATAGACTGTTCAACCGATAACATGCTGTTGATCATTGTTCAGACACGTCCGCCTGTCTCGCCAGGTTCTTTGGATCAAGGAGGCCTTGTTGGTGGTGTCTTTGCAACAGCACGACGGCCTCATACCAGGCGGTGGAGATCATACGAAGATGAGACGACTGCCAGTCCTTCAAAACGTCACGTACCCGCTGGAGGAATTTCCGCTGCAGACCTTGCTCCACTTCTCCAGCTGTTACCTCCACTTGGTCCAGTTATTGATCAAGCCGGTGAAGAAGCGAACTCCGTCGATGACATCAGCCCGTTACGTACAATGGAGGCTGAAGATCTGCATTCACTTACACAGACGGCTCCCACCTCTCAGGATGGCAAAGGTAGGCTCTCTCAAATGGCGGCTTTGATCTTTGCTTATGGTGATCGTGCTGTGACAGTGCTCGAGAGTCCGGCTTCTCGTCGCAGGGAATCAGCAGGGAATCCGAAAAGATTGAGCGTTTCCTATGCGCGGCGGGCCCAGGACATTGTGGAAGTTCTCAAGCGTAACCATGGGGTACTTCACTCAGGCTTGCCATTACAGCAGGCCCACAAAGAATATTTGACAGAGCTTGAGTCTTCAGGCATACGGCCTGCAGGCTCTGCGACCACGCTGGACCGAAGGACGATCAGCGCAGTCATTGATCTGCTCGTGCATAACAAAGAAGTCAAAGTCTTGACTACCGACTCAGGTGCTTATGGCCAACAAAATCGGGTATTAAAAATGCTGTACTTGCCAGACACCCCCATGGAAGTCGTGGATCGATATCGGCGCTCTATGGAGAAGCAACTGAAAATCTTCTCCATGCGTAAGGTGCCACCCACCCCGCTGCGCATGGAATATTCAGAAGTCGGTCGACAAGAGAAACGCACGCTGAGAGCTCAAAACGAACTTCCGGAGGCTTCTTCCATCTCGGATGATATCGAGGTTGCCGACAGCAACTACACGATTGCTGGGCTATCTCCAATCGAAGTTAGGCATCACATCCTGGAGAACGAACCCCACACGGTCGCCCAATTGTATGGTCTGATTCCAGGGATAATTTGGCGAGCACGAGAGCTTTATCTCTTCTCGCTTCATCACATTTCTGTCGGCCCCGCTGAGATTGACTGTGTGGTCTCAAAGCCTCAACGAATCGTCGAGACCAAGTTTTTCCAGTCGGAACTGCCTGTAGCAACATGGTGCACTCTCATTCCTGTCAATCGCTACAGTGCAGCTCTAGAAGCATATCTCCACACGACAGAGGGCCAAGAATCATCGCTACGAAATGCTCCGGAACGGATCAAACGAATATGTGGAAGTTATGCTGTACGGGGCGCGAAAAAACTTTGTAAAGTCTTGGAGATCTTGACCGCTCTGCGGATGATTCAACCTCTCGAAGTCGCGGAACGTCAGAAGTCCGAGATCACATGCGAGCCTCATTCCGGCTACCCTGCGACCTTCTGTAGACGAGAGCTCGGCCCACTCACTACCTTGCCTAGCTATTGGCAGTTTTGCAACCAAGTGCCAGTTTACGACTACACCCAGGACCCAGCCCCCCTCCTGGGCGTCCACGGAGCAGGCACTATGGAGGAGTGCATCGACTTTTGGAACAACCTAGAAGGGATTAGTAACGATAGACAACCAGTTGGACTTAGGGAAGACTCAAAGCCACCCTCGTTTGAATCTTCGTTACATTTGCAGCACGAATTCTTGCGACGTTTCAAGTTGCCTGCCGGATGGAGGCAGATGTATCGGCTTTCAGCCTATCAACAGAGCTGTATCAGAATCATGGCAGATGAAATATTGACTGGCTCTCTCCAACCTGAGCTGGGCATTGGGTGGCTCCAAGAGATCAGTTATGCTCTCGCGGCGCCAGTGGACGCGGTTCAAACATACTTCGAACAGATCCGACGAAGTCGACTGGCTCGGCTCAACGAAAAGAAGCTGGAGCATGAACAAAACTTGCGGCGAGCCAATTTGGGTGAATCAGATAGTGCCAAAGTCTTGGCTAACAAGGCGCGTCAGACGAAAGAAATTCTTGACAATAGCTGGCAGGCGCTTGTGAAACAGACCGTGGAGACACTCGTTCCAGGGACGTTCGATCTCAATGCTCCAGAGCTTCTTCAGGTGAAGAAAAATTGGCATTTGCGTGGCGGCGGGATGAACGTCGATAATGCGAGAGACAGAATTATCTCCGCGATTACGGGGACTGCCATGCCTGGTATCAAGAAAATGCAGAGAAGGTATTATCAACCCGATCGTCATGGTCAATTACGTGATGTTCCCCACTGTTCCCTCTGTGAAAGTAACTTGGAGAGCATCAAGTCTCTCGTTGCTCAGCAGGAAGCCGAGCATCAAGCTTACATGTCGCAGCAAGAAGACAAAAGAACCGGTAAGTGCTGTTTATGAGTGTGAGGTTATTATTGAATTAACACAGTTACTCAACCCCGCCGCCGGTACACCTGGACGCCCGAATATGATGAACTGGCTTTGGATGCAGAGGCTGTAATCCGTGCTCGTTGTGCTCCAGAACAGCAGCCAGCCATCCATTTGCTCACGCAATTATTCCCACGTTTGTCGTCAAATTCCGTGCGCACACATGCGCTCAACCTTCGGAAAGTACGTCCCGGCGGTGACCTATATGCCGCCCAACTGCAGGCTGCTTGGAATGCGCTTCGACTTCAGCCTCATGCTGACGTACCTGATCCCCTTCCGGAGAGCCTGACACACTTCCCTTTGGAGAAACACGTTGCTTATCTCCGTGCCCACCTGGACAAGTCGAAACTGTACGCCGATCCCATTTTTTACACGGGTCAAGCTCACATTCGCAAGGGGCGCTGCTCTGATTGACGAGGCATTGCCTCCCACTGATAACATGGTCTATGATTTGCCTAACGACATGTTGTACATTGAAACCCATTGGGACGTGGTGACTCCTAAGGATACTGTGAAAGAATGGGACTTCATGTGGAACACCACCACAGACGAAATCCGAGAGCGCAACATGCACCATGAGGCGTTTATGCGTCCTCGAGTAGCAGAAGATCCCCTGCCGCCTTTGTCTGAGCTGAACCTCACACATCGAGCAGAGACCGCGGTGAAGGCATGTTGATTTCGTGCCTGGTGATACAATTGCGCTGAATATGGATTAGATGACGGTCACGCCCAGTGAGCAAGACTATGAGTATGAGAAGGCAACCAAGATGCTCGAGCTTTTGGGTCAGATACCTGTGGCTGTAGCCTACGATAATCTCAAGCGTGACGGCGTAATTAAGGCCACTGCCGAACGAAAAAACGCATCGGGCAGGGCCATGATGGTGTCGGACCTGTGCGTCTCTAGCAACCCTGTTTTTTTTCAGGACTCAGAAGTGATTTTTAGGCAAGAAGAAGAATTAGAAGGACAGTTTGATTGGCGACTGTTCCGAGATGCTGATCTACTGGAACGCGATCTAACCCATCTTGAGCTGGAACCATGGTCGGTGATGGCAAGCGATGGACGAACTGCTGGTATTCTGGACTTGATTTCCTCCGACCTCGTGGGCGGTGCTTTTCAGCAAGCGAGCATATGCTGATTCTGTTCAGGTCGAACTCACGGTCGATACGAGCTCCGCTACTGCCCTGGACATCGAGATTGGCAGTAGTAGTCGTGGTATGATCAGTGAGCTCCAAGATAGATTTCGATTCTATGCGTGCTCACTCGGATGCAAGCCGATGAACATCTGGAAAACAATATCTACGTGATAGCCAAAGATAAGGCCCCGGTACTTCCAAGCCTCGGGAGAGCTTCGATCATGCTAGAGAAGCAAGTTGCTGACTCTCGACATGCGGCCGACAACATTCGATGCTCCATCGGCAGGGGTGGCGTAAGCAACTGCCCGCAGTGCATGAACGAAAATTTCCCAAGATATCTTCACAATTTGGGTGAACCTATGAGAATGCAGTTGTGTCATTTGAGGCAAGCGCTGAGGGAGGCTGGCGGTGCGGGATTGTCTGTAGAAGATCTTCAAGTCCGTTTTCCCTCTAATCCAAGTGCGGTAGCCTCTCATCCCCCAATGATTCAGGCGTTTTGTTTTAGGTCTGATAGCTCTTTCGTGCACCTCCGACGTGCACTGTGGGATTGGTGCCAAGGTCAAGTTCCAATAATCGCATGCGTTGGATATGACACAGGCAGAATCATCGCCGCAGAGTTCCTCCATGAATGGTGTCTCCAGACTAGTCAGTTACCCTTCGACATGGTCCTTCCCAGACGCTGGTTACACCCTTCAGGCAAACGCGATGAAGCTCTTTGGCAGATGTCTTTACGATATGTCATGGGGTGGATTATGACACGCACGACTATATCAGAGGTGCGCAGGTTTTATTGACGTCTTTGCACCAAGGTTCCTAAATGGGTTGGGTTAGGCGATACTGCGCCAACGCTCATCGGTTCTATTTGACCGTCTAGAGATGAGCAGTCTGTTACAATACCTGGTCGATGAAAAGTTTGCTGTTCGGAGGACAGCCATGCAGGAGTCAACCCCAGTTTTAATCGGATTCAGCACTAATGAAGAAGAGGCAGTCTGGCATTGGGATATGGGCCCTGTGCCTTGGTACCTAATTCACTAGGAGTTCGTTTGAGGAACCCTTCGAAAATACTGGCTGTGTTCCTAATCCACCATAATTGTACATTTAGCTCATGTTGTACGCATTGCAGAAATTGTAGGGATATAGCACAGTCCAAATATCAATTGTGGATTAATCACTGCCGCATTCATGGTCCTCCTCACCGCCCTTCTTCCGCTTCAGCGCCGATTTTCCAGGTTTCTTGCCCTGTTCTTCAGCCCATTTGACAATCTGCTGCACCTGTCCTTTCCTGCTATCCCAGGAGACGGTTGTTCCGGCTTTGTTGTCCTTCTCAAACGAATAGAGCACTTCAATCTCTCGGCCCCAAACTTCTTGCTGTTCAAACGACGGTGTTTCAAGCACCATGGGCAGGTGCGTAAGACGCGGATCAGTCAAAATATGGAAGAAAGTCGGCAATCCAATATACCCTCTGGTTCAAATTCTATTAGGGACAATAGCGAAAGCGAGCGTTGCTGCACGTACAGCCCTAGATTCTCATGTCGGTCCTTTTTTGAGTTGAATGGTGTTTTGGAATCGTTAAGATGCCAAGCCTTGAGGTAGTTCAGTCCAACAACTTGATCGAATTCCTCCACTGTAAAAACATTCGCATTCAGCGTCGTCAGAATGAGAAACCAGGGGACTTGCTTGTCGTCCTTTGTCAAGATTAGCGCATGGTCTTCTTGCAAGTAATGCAGTACTCACTGATACGTTTCCTTATCGCGGATATCGTATCCCTGAATCTCTGTCAGGCCAGCAGGTCAAATGGGCATATTTTCCGCTTACTGATGCGAAGAGGTGACCTACCGACCAGGTCAGGGAACGAGTTCAGAATGTCGGGAAAGAAAAGGGCTCACATGTATCCAAGCAGACACCTATTCTAGACTTATCTTCCACCAACCCAATCATGGCCGCAAGATCCGAAAATCGGCATCCCATGACGTTTCCTGCGCCCGCCTGGAGAGCTCAACATCAACAATACTCATCTTCCTCTCAAGGTGCAGGCTAACATACCATATTCTCGATGACAACACAGACGAAGGAGGTCGCCTTATGTGCTCGATTGATGCTCTCAGCAACGTAGGTGAGGCATTCTTCAAGAGGCGCTCCACCGACTGTTGACCCAGGGCTGTAAGCTTGGTAAGCTTAGGATTATCGTGCGGAAATTCATAGCTTACTGAAAGTTGTACAACTTGATCCCAAGCTGCTCACATCGTTGCAGATCGTCCAAGAAGCATTCATACGATTTTTCTCGCTTCTCTCTGTCCTCACATTAGCATTTCTTCCTCCCAGAAATAATCTTGTGGGCTGACTGATCCGGGTTTCCAAGGTTGATGAGATAACTGCCATGAGGAAGCACCATTCCTGGATCGTAGCCGTACTTCTGCAAGCGGGACTTGAACAGCGAGATAGACTGGCTGGAGAGTGGAGGAGAACTCCATTTTCGCTGCGATTTGAGGAAGAGGGCAAAGGCGTTTGCACTGCATAGAGGTCAGCGAGGGGTGTTGACATGGTTGGGGAAGCTTGGTATACCCAATAGCAGCAGCATTAAGGACCGCATTCTCCACCCCTCCCGCAGCAGAGACGTGTGCCCCCACACACATCTCACTCTCTACCCTCGGCTTATACTCTTGCTCTTCAACCGCCTTCTTCGCCTTCGCCTTCTTCTTCGGTGTCCCCTCCCCATCATCATCTTCCTTCACCCGCTTCGCTTTGGCAGTCGTGCCCTTAGCAGTCGCACGCTTCTTCTTGGCAGGTTTAACATCCTCTTCCTCCTCTGTCACGTCGCTCTCCTCGTCCTCTTGCACCTCTCGCTTGACCTCAGCTGCTGAGCGCACCGACCGCCTTGGAGCGGGTCTCGTCCCTGTCACCGCTGGCGGATCAGTCTCATTACCCACAGAAACCGTTGCTTCTGCGGCAGACTTGACACTCTTCCGCCGAGAAGATGTCGACATGGTGGGATAAAGGGATATGGACGCGCGCGCTGAAAGGCGAGGAATCAGACGAGAGGAGTGCAAAATGGTCGCAGTACGAAGCATCAGTCAGCGCGTCGCGTGGGGGTCAAGGACACTAGTATGAATTGAATTGTCAGCGGACGCGTTTACAAGTCACTTTTCAGTTTACCACGTTCGCCGTCAACAGGCACGCGCCTGCCTTTGACGTCAGCCCGATGGACGTGCTTTGTGAACATTCAACTGCTGGATTCTTCGTTATTAGACTGACCAACGACAAGGTAGATCTCACGTGCTGAGCCAATGTCGTACACAGTTACTCAATATAAATGCTGCTGGCAATATGGGCAGTGCAGCCCGACGTCGTACCACTGCAGGTACATACTTGGGAAACCTCATGAGCGATCTCCGTGTCAACCGGTTTTCTTATCCTGAAGCTTCTTGGCACGTACTACATGCCTGCCGAATCTCGTGACTCATGTTTGGCTGTGTTGGGATCCGCCAAACCAAATCGACTATAAAATCCTTGTCTCTGCCCGCTGTGGCGCGAATGTCATAGCACTATATTACATGGCAAATGGCTTCTGCCATTGCTCTTGTAGGCGCGAATTCGCCGCTGCTTGCCTATTGGCCCTTTGTGGGCGTCGATCCTACTGAGGAGTGGATGCTCACTTACGCACCGTTCACTTGGCCGCCGATCCCTGTCTGCTACACAGAAGCTCCGGGAACCAACATCCAATTCGATTTTTACGGGAGTGAGTTCCAGCTGCTTGGCCCAGAGGAACAGGGATGTGGATACACGCTGCTCATCAATGGCACGGACTCGGGAAAGAATGGTTTTGCTGAACCCGTCCAGCTCCCTGCGGGGCAGTATCATATTGAGGTCAATCTCAGTTACTCGGCTGGAGAATTCTTCAATTTTGAAGGCTTCGCTTTCAAGTCGACAGAAGAGAACAGCACTCTGTATGTTTTCATGTGATTTGAAGCTGGTGGGCTGATGTGTCATAGGAAGGACATTACGACGTTCATCAACGCTCCTAACATTCGTCCAACAGGACAGTGGGAAGAGACAACGCTTTACTCAGTGAGTTTCCACATTACATGTTATTCCCAGGTCTAATGAACGTACCAGGAATTTTATCATGCAAACTTCACCCAATATTTGACCAACAGTGTATGTATATGTCCTTTTCTCCTTGGTTTCGTGCTATCTAAGACCAGCGACTAGACGGGTGCTCAACTTGAATACAACTTCCAAGGCATACAGACCACGATCATGGGCTCTGTTGGACCGAGCGCCGGTCCTTTCAGGGTGACAATCGATGGGCAGTCTGAGGTTCCGCTGTCGGCGTATCGGCCTGTCGCGGACGACCTAGTCACGCTCTACGTGAAGCAGCTGCCATTCGCGGACAATAGCGGCAGTCATAATGTTATAGTGACGAATCTCGGTCAAACGAATACTGTGACTATTTTGGCCATAAGCTATGATCAGCTGTGGGCCGTTCTCTCGCATTTTGATAGGAAGTGACTCAATGTCGAACTAGTGTTTCTTCGACATGACTCCTGGGAGCGGCCGATGCGTATTGGACTGTGGAAAGGCAGACATAATGTGGGGTTGGTTGTATAATGTATGTGCTTGACAGAACAAATTATAATCAGGATCGCGCCCCGTTGTATTCGCTATGAAGAAATAATGACGTCCGGTCAGCTCGGTCTAACATGACTCCGAGGATTGCGTCACGACGAACAGGCATCAGTGCCGCTCGGGGCGGTCCGGACCCAATACGGCATCCAAGTCCCGCGCAAGCCAGTCCCGCCTCCTTGTTCTCGAACATTGACCAACACCTCAAATGGTCATGTGCGACTCATGACAGCCAACTGGAGGTGCGGAACGGAATGAACGTGTATCCGCTCGATGTGGGCAGGTCTGGTCACATGCACCGCTTGGCTCCGATTCTCCTTGATCTCCTGGTCTCTCGCCGTTGGTCCGCCTCGCCGCCTGCCCGGACCCATCGGCAGGGGGTATATAAGTCTTACGAGCCTATCCTTGGGGTTGGCATCAACCGCATTACTACCTCACACGACATACACACTAAACAACGATGCCCGCTCAACGGAAACCTGAAGTCACGGCAGAGTTCATGGCGTACATGGCCAACGTGCTCAAGCCGGGCTCGGAGGAGGACAACCTGATGTCGATCGACGAGGACGAGGAGTACAAGTACCTGTACGACGAGTTCCGCTCGGAGGGCAAGGTCGACCCCACAGTGATGGAGAACGAGGCCAAGTTCCTGCAGTCGCTGCAGGAGGGTCCGCTCAAGCCCTCCCCAGGGCACTACGACGATGAACACGTGCATGTAAGTACGACCGCCAAGACGCTCACGCTCAAGCACTGGCTCATCTCCCACCCTATTCTCGTCATCGATCTCGATAAAGTGATCTACCTGCGCTCTGCGCCAGATGTAGTGGTAAACGAGTTCGGAGTCAAGGTGTGGGGCATTGGGGAGACGGGTGTAGGGTGGACACGGGACGGGCACAGGAAGGGCGCCTCGGGAACGGCATACGACCACAGCTTTGTGTGCAAGTACACCGATGAGCGCTTGGGATTGAGGGCGGGTTTCTCTGTTGACGACCCGCTCAAGTTCTCCGCTGCACTCGAGAAGGCCGCTCATGGGATCACGGCTCGGCATACCTACCCTTGAACATCAGCACCTATCATACGATGAGCGCAAGTGTAGATTCGTCCATGATACGAGATGATACGACGCGCATGAATGAGAGATTGGGCGACTTGTATGAATACGCGGAGAAGGAATGAATGAATGTCATGTGATCATTTACAGTATGACTAGCTCCGTGATATCTGCTGGACCGATATTGTGATCGATGGCTACTTACTGACGTGGATGATGATGATAGTTGGGATGGCGGTGTTTGAGGCAGCCTACTCCTGATTGCCTCGTCCAGGTCGAGGTACTCAATCTCACCTTCCACAGATGTACACTCTTCCGACAATTTCATTTCCTTTCCCTGGATATTTACTAGAATTTCACGTGACCGGATCCATGCTACCGTTCTTACCCTTTATCTCTGCTGCGCAAGGCCGTGCTCACCTACCTCATTCTCTACTTCCTCTTGGCTCATGTTCGAGGTCGCCGGTGTCGTTTTCATCAGCTGGTTGAAGCTCATGCGGGTCGTAGGCGACGCCCAGCCTGCTGGATATCACGTGCCGTGCCTGCTGACCTATGACTAGACTTGGCTGATGTGTCTCTATATAAGTCGGAGCGTGCCATCGGTAATCGATATTCAACCGACTGATTTCTTGAGTTCAACCACACAGAGCATATCATGGCAACCACAACCAAAGCCGAAGTTCAACTGCCCACTAACCCACAGCATGAGGCGCTCTACGCATCCGCAATCGAGACGGGCGTCGTACCCCCTCCCGTTCTTGAGGCCGAAGCAATCTCAGAAGCTGAAGCACACGACCCTGCTATCCGACCCAGTTCGGACGACTACGAGGACCGACATGTCCGTCTGTGCGGGACGAAGCGGACACTGACGATCAAGCACTGGATCATGTTCCATCCCACTCTTGTCGTGCCAGTTGATTCGATCACCTGGATACACCCTGCGTCGCTGGTGGTCAAAGGGCTCGGAGTCACCTGCTGGGGCCTGGCAGCGCATCGGATGGGCTAGGCACGCGATTTCCACCGTGTGCTGGTGAGTGATCCGGCGTACGATCATTCCTGGGTCGTGCAGTACATCGACCCGTTCTGGGACTTGAGAGCTGGATTCACGGTGGAAGATCCGGGTGAGTTTGCGGCGGCACTCGAGAGGATGGCTCCTGGGGTCACGCAGTGGGAGTGCGAGGAGAAGGACCGGATGGAGAGGCACGAACACGAAAAGAAGGATAAGGATACGGCGGGATTTACGAAGATCCCTGAAAAGCATACCACTTGAAATTGACCACTATAGCTAATCTTGGATGACCGTGAATATTCTGTGGTGTTGTCAGTGTTTACCATACGTGTACGATGTACTGTAAATGTATAACTAATTTTTTTTCTAAATTGTTGCCACATCCAATCCCGAGCGGGGCGATTCGGGTTTTATGTGTATGGTTCTGCGGTTAATGTCGGGCGCGTCACCAAGGCGAGTTGATGGACCCGCACGTTCGTGTCCTTGTTCACAGGCGACGACGTGTGCTTGTTTCCTTTTATTTCTCTATCGCTTAAACGGCAGTGCGCGGCGAATTGCAATCTGTCAACGTCGACAACGTGTTTGATACGCTCTCAACGGAACTTGCCGATGTCATTCCACTGAATTATACGTAATCTAATACGTTGAAGGGGCAACCTGGCCCCGCAACGGCGGAGACTAGGCAGTGCAAACACGCTAACGGCGCCTCGTTTTCTATGCATGGCTTTGGTCTGTGAACAACTCTCAATGACATAAAAACAATTCGTCACGAGGTGTCTCACACACGACTTTGTACTTGACGACAACCATCAACTTCAACTTGTTCATTTCGAGCAATCTCAGCAATGAATAGCGTTCAGATGATGACGCCTCTGCAAGCACTTTCTCACGACCTCAATACCCTCGCACTTAACGAACACACCCTTCTCCCTTGGGACGTCAAGCCCTTCCCATCCTCTTCCAGCTCCTCGTCCTCAGGCTCGGGCACGCACACACCCGCCTACCCCTCCGTCGCCGCTGCATTCGAGCAAGACGTGGCATACGCACCGATATACGACGAATACAGCGAGACAGGCCGCGTACACGCCTTGCTACTCGAGCGCGAGCGTCTTTCTGCTCTCATGCTCGCTGGCTCCTCCCCCGCTTTCTCTCGCTCAGGAAAACACGATTATGCTGATACGAACGTGTCGATCTCCGCTGCGGGACGGACGCTGATCATCAAGCACTGGCTCATCGCCCACCCCACCCTTACCGTCGGCTTGCAGGACATCATCTACATCCTTCCTGCAAAATGTGTCGTTCCTGCACACGGGATCACCGCTTGGGGTGTGGGAGAAACAGGCGTCAGCTGGGCAAGAGACGTGAGACGCACGGATCCGGGTACGAAGGAGTACGAGCGGAGCTACGTATGCAAGTTTCGCGCCCCTGCTGGAGAGGGCAGGGAGAGCAGGGAATGGTACGCAGGGTTCACGGTCGAGAACCCAGACAGATTCGTCGAGGTGCTCGAGGACACGTGGTATGGTGATTAGGTGGGAAGGTGGGGAGGATGTCTGGATATGGTTCAGGGAGGCGGCTCGTCAACCCTGCGGGTCAGCGGGGGGCGGGGAGGGCGGCATCATACGCCTATGTAACCGGGGACCATTGCCCACTCTGGTAACCGGGTACACCAAGACATCTATTTCGGACTTGGGCACGTGACGCGGCTGGCCACGGAAAGACTCCAACATTAGTGGACTGACTATGTATAGTACGGCGGATCCCCATCGGGTCGTCCTCCTTTTCTCCCTGCGACTGCCGCCCTGTGCGGCCCTGTGCGGGGAAATAATTATGTATTTCCAATGCATCTCCCGCACGCCTGCCCCTGGAGTCCCGATGGCCTCGGACGGTAGCCCCCTCGCTAACCAAAGCATATATAGAGCCTCTGCGAACGAGGGCCTCGTTCCCCGTAACCCAAAACACACACCATGCCGTTCATGAAAGCGCTGTCTGTCTCCCACGATGAGTCTGGCTCAGAGTCGGAGACGATCGCCGTGCATCCAGAGCATGAGCAACTGCCCTCCTCCGACCGTCCGAAGCTGCATCATCTCGAGTCTATCCTGGTCAACCCGGACTTTGTCGAGCCCGTCCAGATCGCACTGGACGACGATGCGCGTTACCGGATGATATACGATGCCTACCTTGACAATGGAAAGGTGCACCCGTTGGCGAACGAGAACGAGTGGTTCAGCATCATGCGCTCCAGGTTCCGGACTGGGGGGCTCGCGGGCACCCCGTCGGAACGAGACTATACGGACAACCACGTTGCGCTCTGTTCGAAGAGCAAAACGCTTACTGTCAAGCACTGGCTGATCGCACATCCGACGCTGGTCATCGACCTGTCCAAAGTGGACTATATCCGACCGGCAAAGGACGTGGTTGCCAGCGGTGGAGTCGAGGCTTGGGGAGTGGGAAAGACAGGGATCGGGTGGGCGAGGGACTTGGATCGCCTCCCCACTACGGGCAGGAATTTCTGGCATTCCTATGTCTGCCAGTTCCAGGAGTGGGGGGACGTCTTCCTCGCTGGGTTTACTGTTGAAGACCCCAAGCGGTTCATGAAGGAGCTGCAGGGTATCAGGCCCGAGATCACTAAGGTGCCTATGGACGAAGAAGTTGGAGAGATCTCATAAGCAAGAGACCGGTCGGGAAGATCCGAGGCCAGAGACGACGACGATGATGAACGCGAGGACTGCTACGAATATCCGATTTGCACTCGATTTTGATCCGGAACGCGATTTGTATAAAGCACGACGAGGGAAGACACAAAAACAGAGAGCTACTCCATATGCATATCGATTTTTTTTTCGCTCTTGGATGCGGTTGTACATGCAGGCGGAGAAGGATGAGGACGTCGGTCACCACTCAGTACTTCATCGGCGCTATGACCGACGATTCGGTGGATGGGAGGACGCCAAACATAGAGATGCCAAGATTTTTGCGTCATTTTCACATGCTTACCAGTAGGCACACGACCAGTCAGGGTTCCTTACCAACCTTGTTCTCTTGAGTAATGTTCAATTGGTGTTGGCTTCGGGATGTGCAGGGAGTGGGTACGCCGCCGGTTGGTCTATTGTCCGGAAGACCAATTCTGCAACGAAGGCGGATCGCTGACTGAAACAGAGCAGCTGAAAAAGGCAGGTTAAACCGGCTGAGCCCGTGCGGTGTGAGGTCATGTGCCAGGGTTATGAACCCCTTCACTCGGCGCCTGACGGAGCTTCTCTTGAGTGCGGGGAGCTTTCCTTACTGTTCCTTCGCGTAAGTCTGGAATGTGCCACCAACAGAAGATATATACACACCTCCGTTGGCAAAGGGGTTCGCCAAATGAACGTTACACCGACATCGCTCTAGCAACCAAACGTTAACATTGAACCACGCAAAGATATCGATACTATGCCAGCCTTCAAGGAGCTGTTGTCGCCGCATTCCGAGGTCAAGCGAGTTAGCTCGCGCCTGCGGCTCTCGTTCATCCGCAACTTCATCGACTCGCTCAGTAGCGACCCGAAGTACATGAACTCGATCCGAGCTGCAGTCGAGGAAGACCACAAGTACCGGAGCATGTACGACGAGTACAAGCGCACGGGAAAGGTGACGCCTCTCGAGGAGGAGAACGACTCCTTCTCGTTATTACGGTTCAGAAGCCGGACAGGTGGGCCAGCGGGTCCACCGAAACCAGGCGACTATAACGATCAGCACATCTATGTGTGCACCACACGACGTACACTCACGATCCATCATTGGCTTTTCATGCACCCCACTCTCGTGATCGACCTCAACAGCATCATTCGGATTCGCCCTGCAAAGGATGAAGTCACCGAGGGTGGTGTCGAGCCGTGGGGAGTGGGCCTGACGGGTGTCTGTTGGGCGCGAGACGCGGACCGTGCCCTAACAGATAACGAGGCGTACGACCGCAGCTTCGTGTGCGAGTTCAAGGCAGAGGACGGGGAGGAGTACTGTGCGGGATTCACGGTTGAACGACCGGAGAAGTTTGTACGGGTCCTCGAGAATTTGATACCAGGCATACGAGCTGGATGCTCCAAGACGAGGTGGGTGAGATAACGGCCGTGCAGTAGCTTAACTGAACTTCCCTACAGTCGCTGGGGAGCTCTGTAGTTGATGCCTATGCATTCCTCTTTTGATGTTCTCTGTACATTAGCAACATTGTACCATTACTCAATCACCATTATTTTCGGCATTTTCCAGTGCCCACCAGAAGCACAGTTCCGATACTGCCCTGCAAATTTGGAAGATAGGAGGTTATAATCTTCAATGATCGAGACCGCTCACTTTCACACCCCGGGGCTGACCGGGTCCAATCACGGGTCCGCCATCCGCCGCAAGCGCCCTTCCACCCGCCCGAACACCTTCCTCTCCCAGTCATCTCGTGACTAGTTCTTGGCCCTTTACAGCAGCGTTTCCGCATGAAACGGAATGTTAATGACTCGTCGGATGAACGGGAGGTCCGGTGACCGGTAATTGGCCTCTGTGCTTCCCATTGTCTATAAAAAAGGCTGGGAAGCGAACCGCGCATGTCTCTTCAGTACAACCCAACCTTACTACTGAACAACCATACCTTCAGAGGTACCACAACTTACTACCGAACTTCCCGATGGCATCTATCCAAGTACCAAACACCACCGAGACGGAGCACAATGAGATCTACCAGCAGTTTGCCGAGACGGGCAAGGTTGATCCAGCGGTGCCCGAGCATGAGGAGAAGTTCCGCAAGGTCCCCAGTACGGCAGGGGTAGACGATTACGATGACTATCACGTACGGGTGTGCGCTGCTAAGCGCACCCTGCTCATCAAGCACTGGCTGATCATCCACCCGTCGCTGGAGATCGACCTCGACCGTGTCATCTATATCCTGCCTGCAGCGAACGCGGCCAAGTCAGGGGTCACCTCGTGGGGCGTGGGCGCAACGGGCGTCGGATGGGCACGCGACTTCCACCGTGTATTCTCGCGATCGAAGAGCGTGGAGAACTCGTATGTGTGCAAGTACCGTGACGCGTGGCTCGGTCACCGTGTCGGCTTCACAGTGGAGGACCCGGCCAAGTTCCTCCAGACACTCGAGAAGCTCGAGCCAGGAATCACCACACGAGTACATGATGAGCAGGTGTATCATCCCGAGCCACCAAAGGCTGCTGAGCCAGAGCGGCCGACAGAGGAAGGGCAGGGGACGGAGATCCAAGTGGGGGAGTAATGGACCATGAGTTTGTAATGGGTTGATGGGATACTGTGTCGGACTGAGCGAAACCACTAGCTCAGTAGTTATTCCTTACTCTGTTTGATGCACATGTATGATAGGGCATATCCATGAGCCGTAGTCCAAGCATCAATGTACATACCACGAACCTGAGACCTGATTAGGCGCCCGTCAAAAAGTGCACCGCATTAAACAGAGTTCCACATGCACTCCACCTAAGGCTCCGATGATGGCATTGTCGGCATCCTGTATTCAATAAAGAAAGGTGAAGAGGATAACAGCGCGCAGCAGTTGTCCAGCTCGAGGCGTAGGCTGTGATGGCTGCGAGGAAAAGAACAGAAACAAGAGAACACGGGAGCCGAGAAGGGCCCGGCGGTTCTTCATCGCCGAAAATGGTTCCATTTACCCCGCATTTGTAAGACTGAGCATTTCGGACACAACCATAACTACGGAGCCATTTCGGAGGTACATTGACACATACCTTTGTGTACTGCACCATACCAGTTTATACCAGCCTATACTGGAGTGTCCGGTCAGTATGCAACCATATTCGTTGGTATTGGACAGTATGGGGCAGTATGGGGCAGTATCTGCTCAGGGTCTCGGCTCTGCCATATAGAGTGGTATGGGGCAGGAAGCTGCAGAAGCATGGAGGGTTGTTCCAGAAGCCAGGCAGCATCATTGGGTACTGAGTGATAGTGCAGGATACCAGCAGAATACTGATGGGTACCAATGTGGACCATTGGGTACTGCACAGTCCTAGCAGTACATACAGGTATGGGGAGGTATAGTTCAGTATAGATGGGTATTGGCGAGTATTGATTGGCGTCAAATGGGAGCAGACAGTTTTGTCTGATCTGACCCACCATACATTTGGCCCTCTTGACTGCCAGCCACTAATAGTACTAGTACTGGTATATATGATATAAGTGCAGTTCATCTGAACAACCTGAAGCCTAGTGCAACCATCCCAGCCATGCTCATCAATGTCGACTGAGCAATTGAACCAGAGCACAAAAGAAAGTGGGTACTCAACATGTCCTACTCTGACAAGTTCATCATGGTCGACAGCCTCAGGCAAATGTTAATGATCCATAACTTTTGTATCACCCACCTGGAGCTAGTCCTCCCTTTCTCAGATATAACCAACCTCCTCCTGGTGGCCAAAGTGACCAAGCGGCTGGGGATGAAAGTGATGCAGAGTATTGCATAGTCATCCATACAACCCTGTAGGGGACTACCAAAGCAGAAGCATTTGCAGAAGCAAATGCAGTCCAAATGTGTGCTGTAGAACTACATCCAATCTCTATTGGTGACATCCACCCCAGCCTGTCTGCTGCTGCTCATCATGAGTGACTCAGGGTTGGTAGACTTATACCCTGGCTCTATATTATCCTTCTGGGCAGCCTCAGCACAGTGGTTATGCATCTGGATACATACCTGCCCTGGGGAGGTTGTTAGGGCAACACAGGCTGACTAAGTTTGCTCACCTAAGAGTGCCAAGAGTCTAAGCAGGCAACATGGAAGTGGAGTAGACCTGATGACTAGGACCTATCTACAGTATAGGTACCTGTGGATGATCCTAAGAGACCAAGTCTGAAGAGA